ATGCCGAAAGCCCGTTTCGGGCCGGTGGCGACATTTGTTAATAATTTTTTTTTTTGTAATGGCTAATTATCGATGCTAATATGCTGGTGGCATGGTCAGGGTCCATATGTTGCTGGGGAGAAAGTCACTGCTGTTGATCTGAGTTTGGCACCAAAACTGTATCATCTAGTGATAACACTTGGCCACTTCAAGAATTGGAGTGTTCCTCAAAGTTTGGCACATGTCCACAACTACACCAAGGTGAATTTTTTTTCTTCTGCTAGAAGTATCTTTGTTAATGGTGTTGCCTCCGTTGTATATGTTGTACATCTTTACTATGTTCAAACTTAAAAGGGGCTTCCAATGGTTATAACTCGCCTCAGTTGCCTCGTTGCAGCTTTTATTTTGAATTGGATTCCTTTTCTTTTCAGATGGAAATGTAGAATATTGTAAAATAGTAATGACACATTCACAACGACTAAATCGAGATAAGGAATCATAGGCTAAATTTTTTTTGCAAACATAAGCGTAGGTACTACCGAGTTTGTCTGATCTTTATACGAGCAAGTCTTGCTTCAATAATTGACATGTATTAATAGAGTAAATGCTTTTATAAAGTTATTTAATTATAAATTATCACGTGTATAAATTTATAACTTCCTCTGTCTCAATATTTGTCATTTTAACTTTTGAAGTTAGCATTAATAATATTTTTCTATTTATGCCTTTAATATTAAGGTTTTCTCTTATATATTTATTATTTTTTATAAATTCAAATAAGATTAGTTTTATAAAATTATTATTTTCTTTGGTTTCTGAATTGAGTGCTTTGGATGACCATCTTAATGCCCACGTACATATGTGAATTTATAATAAACTAATTTTATTTTTGTTAATTATTTTTTTTTTGTAATGGCTAATTATCGATGCTAATATGTTGGTGGCATGGCCAGGGTCCATACGTTGCTGGGGAGAAAGTCACTGCTGTTGATCTGAGTTTGGCACCAAAACTGTACCATCTAGTGATAACACTTGGCCACTTCAAGAGTTGGAGTATTCCTGAAAGTTTGGCACATGTCCACAACTACACCAAGGTGAATTTTTTTTTTATATATATTTGACTTTAGAAGGAGACGTTAATATCATTTCTTTGATCTTTCATACTACTATACTGCACTAGTAGAGTAATGATTGATTTTATTTGTGAACGACTTTTCCTTTTCTTATTCAAAAGTAATGAATCCAAAAGTGACAGCCTGATTCTCAAAGTAACGAATTGATGCTCTACTTCCTCTCATTGTAGTTAGGATTTTCTTTCCAAATTTGATTGCACTCTAAATTGTATAAAACTTTTGATCCCTCGAGACTTTTTTCATGCTGTTTATATTTAGTTCACAAAATAAAACCACTCATGTTTGAATTTTAATAACTATTTTTATATATAATCAATTATCATATATTAGGGGGAAATTATGACTATTAGAAAGTGCAATGGGATTTACAAGCTATATTTACAATGTATTTTGTTTGACTACTGGCTAGGATTTGAACATAAACATCAAAATTCAATACACAATGGCTGCAGCAATAGAATTGTCCTATCCAATTGATTGCATTTCTGGGTTTTGGTTTGGTGTTATAAATAAAATATGTTTATACAGGTAAACCACAATTAGTATACGAGATTTCTGTTTCTGGAGGAAGGTTCCAAAACTGTTTAAGGGATAGAATTCATTGCATTAGTGGCTACTGGCTAGGATTTGAACATAAACATCAAAATTCAATACACAATGGCTGCAGCAATAGAATTGTCCTATCCAATTGATTGCATTTCTGGGTTTTGGTTTGGTGTTATAAATAAAATATGTTTATACAGGTAACCCACAATAGAACCGATGTAGATTTGAGTACACATCTACATCGGTTTTAATTAAAACCGATGTAGATTTTTGTTCAAATCTACATCGGTTCTAATTAAAACCGATGTAGATTTTTCGAAAATCTACATCGGTTTTAAAACCGATGTAGAAATTTTTTTATTACTACGTCGCTCTATTCTACATCGGTTATAAAACCGATGTAGATCACCTTCCAGAACCGATGTAGATTTGCATTCCTGTAGTAGTGTAGCTTGGCCGTGAGCTTTCTTTTGGTTTTTCTTGCTTGGATGCTTCCATCCTAGTCTAGGAAAACACTCTTATCTCTTCTTCTAAATCAATCTCATTCCGGAATTCATTCAAGGAGCAAAGATCCGTGATCATTGGAGAAGGAAAAGGAAGCACAACTCTTCACTTCACTTCCCTACTCCATCATTTTTGGTATCAAGAGCATGGCTAGCTTCCTTGAGGTTAAGTAGACTTTTCTACCGATTGGATTCTGGAATTTGTGTGTGCAAATTGTCATATATTGAGTCTCCTTTGTGGATCTATATTTTTTGAAAACAATTCTTGATAGATCCAAGTGTTTGATTGCAATTTGTTCAAATCCGCAATCAACAAAGTGTTAGGATTCAACTTGTGCCAATTTTGATTTTTTTTGAGTCATTTTTATTTTTTACTCTTTAATTCGGTCATTTTCAATTCCTTTGCATGTGATTCTTTTGAATTTCTGAATATAAAGTTTGTCTAAGTCATGTGATAGTCCTTTATGTTGTCATACAAAATTCAAGATGTGCTTGGTTTAATCTTGTGCTGAAAATTTTTGAGTCATTTTAAAGTTTGACCGAGACTTGTTTTTACCATATATATGTTGCTTATGTGCTTTTATTTTTGCAAATTTGAGTTCATATTCATCATTGTCGCCACCCGCCGAAACGGACATTGGCATTCGCGACGATGGTTGGACTCTTTTTAAAGTTTTGAAAAATGATGGATTGTTAGAACGACTTATTCTCAAACTGAGACCTCATTGAACTAACAATTTTATTAAATGATTCACCAATCCATGTTAATCCCAAGCGGGACCCTCCATGGATTAGTGGTTTTCGCAAAA